GATGTTGTTGGCTCATGATTCACTGGAACTTACTGGAGGTTGAAAGCTAAATCAACAGGTCATACAAAAACAAAGCAAACATGCTAACGTTAGCCTAGCGTTTTGGCAAACTGCTCTACAAAAAAAAAAAGTCAAATGTGTGTGTTTTAAAATAAATTCATGGTCAGAACATCACACTAGTCCCATCTTTGAGTGTTGTATTAAAGGGGCTGTGTTATGTATTTTCCAGACATATAGTGTCATTTTATAGCACAATCAAGTGCTATAAAAGTACTTTATAAAAACTCAACATATACCAAATATGACTTACAATAAATTTGACTTTCTAATGCAGCGCCTTGAAATTGGGCCTCTGTCTCTTTAAGAAACCCTCAACAACATTTTTACCAGTGTTGCTCTGAGAAGTAGCTCCTATAATGAGCTCATTATAAAGCTAATCCGGATTTTGGGAAAACCATAAATTTATTGAACAAAATAATTTTAGAAGATCTTAAGCTTTTTAAGTGGGATCTTCAAAACAATGTAAAAAATATATTAAAAAAAGATGTTTTTTTTTAGTTCTGTAAAAACAGTGTTACAAGCCATCCATTTTCAGAAGGTTTTCTCATTTTGTTATAAAACAACATCACTGACTCTGTTGTTTAGCTCTCAGACATAACTGAAGCTGCTTACTCTTCTTTTTAAGCAACTCAGTTCTTTAAACTAATGATAGTGACTCCACGGTCACACTGTATGACTGTTTATGACAAATTCCTTTTCTAAGGTGAAGTTATGAGGAATGTGTTTAGCATGTACCGACGCTGGGCCGCCGTCCAGCTGCCTCCCCCCGTGGTTGGACACAATGATACCCTGGACGCCGTGCTCCACGGCCAGCTCGGCGTCTTCCTTGGTCAGGATGCCCTTGATGATGATGGGGAGGCGGGTGATAGACTGCAGCCAGTAGATGTCCTTCCAGCTGATAGACGGGTCCAAGGTGTTGGCCGGTATCCCGTACTCCTCTGGGACGCTCGTCTCCTGCTTATAGTGCGACAAGTACAGCTCCCGTAAAGGTTCGCTTGTCAAAAATCAAGAGTGGTTGTAGGTAATAATATTGGAAACTTTAAACTTTGGGTTAGATTTCAACCTGATTTGTGAGTTGTGTGCATTAGATTAGGTTTTATGAGAGTGCAACTTTGTCACTTAAGTTTTACTTCCTCAAAATAAAATTATCACCAAGGGACAGAAATAAGTAAGAAAAAATATCACACTTCAACTTCTAATATTGCATTAGAAAAATTAAAATGGAAGCCTTCAAACTATAGTATGTAACTGTCTTATACTTTCACAACATAGTGACAACAAATATGTAAAAAACATTTTTTTTGGTGACACTTTATTTGAAGGGGTGTTCATAAGACTGACATGACACTGTCAAAAACATGACATAACATCTGTCATGAACATGAAGGAGTCTTTATAAATGTTTATAACTGTTGTCATGAAGTATTATTTGGTAAATAATGACACTTTTAATGCAAAGTTGCTCTAAAAGTCCATTAAAAATGCCAACTTTGCATGATTTTGTAAATAGTGATAATTTAATGCAAAGTTGGCATTTTTAATGGACTTTCAATGCAACTTTTAGAGCTTGTGTATGTGCTCACCGTCTCTCCCTTGCTCTCTGCTATGCTATAGCTTCTTTCCAAAGGAAGAGCTCATGCTAATGCTGGTTAGCATGGCTACCGATCACACTGGATAAACAGCTTTCTTGAAACGGTAAGTTGCTTTTTTCACCATTAGCCCATCTAGCAGCATGTTCACGAGTGTGAGTGACAGCACTAAGACCCTCCTCCTGGCTCTGATTGGTTGTTTTTGAACGGAAGCGGTGCTTTTCTGCAGATTGCAACAGTAGGACATGGAGGAGCTTGACTTTTTTATAGATTATCTGTCTCACACTATACTGCCACAAAATAAATGCTAAAAAAAACATTTTTTTATAAAAGCTACATGCTGCGGCTTTAGGTTGCACAACAGTCCGCCTTGAACCTTTTACTTTTAACTGTGACTCAACAGCTGTTGCACAGTTTCTAACTGGCTGTGCCGATTCATTCTCTTACCTCGAAAACTCCCTCAAAGTTCTTGACTTTGAGGTGCGGCGGCAGCCTGAACTGGTTGCGGATGTCGTTGCGGCGCTTTCCCGTGTAGGGCACGTCGACCGTGAGGACCAGCGCCTTGTAGCCGAGCGCCTCCACCCGGTGCACCAGCTGCTCGGACAGCTTCCTCTCCCGGTACACGTAGAGCTGGAACCAGCGGTAGCCACTGGGCGCCGCCGCAACGATCTCCTCCACTGAGCAGGTGGAGTAGGTGCTGGTGATGTAGCAGGTGTTGAGACCCTCGGTGGCTGTGTGGGGGGAATCGGTGGTGTGATCAGCGATGGTGGGACTTCCGTTAAAGGTACAGAGGTTTAATATTCACATTTACGGTGCTTGGGAAAGTAGCATAGTACTGTGTGTCGAAAGGGAAATAAATACATGGTTTTCAAGTTTATTTTTATAAATTAAAATTTGGAAAGTTTAGCAAGCATTTCTATATCCGTAACCCCCTAAGGTAAGATAGTGTGTTCACAGGTAGATTGAGCAAATAACTCCAGTTTTAAAGTCCAAGGCTCAAAGAATAGACTTTAAAATACTTTTGTTATCTTATACATAACTGAATAACTTAACACTAAAATACACTAGAGCTCCGTTGTCATTGTATCAACCGTACAGACCACTCAGGCCTTCTGGTTCTGGTCTGTCCTTCATCCCCAGAACCAAACGTGGAGAATTTAGGATTTTTTTTTTTTTTTTTTTTTTTATCTGATCCTCACAGACTCAATCCAGTCCGTCTGAACTTGAGCCATTCTTCAGAGAAGAATAGGCAAAACTTCAGTCTCTAACTGTCCAAAGCTAAGAGGGAGCAATAAAAATCTGCAGCAAAAATCATGTCCCACACAAACAATGATGTTTGTGGTTCTAAAGGGAAAAAAGATGTAGAAATTCAAGGGGCATGAATACTTACGTGAGGTACTGTAGATGAAAAATGATAATTAGGATCAATATTTTGCACCGGTGCTCAATAAGTCTGCCTCTAACCCTATGAATAGTTTTTGTGGCCATATTAACGACAGCAGAGTTTGGGGTAGATTGAATGTCTGATTGATTCTTTGAATAAATGAATTAATGATCCTTGTGAAGCTGCTGGTTCAGCTTGCAACACTTCCCTCTAGTGTTCAGTTTGAGTACTACCACTGTTGCTGAATTAAGGATTTCTGCAACAGGCGAACTGGATTTTCTGCAAAATGCCAACATGTGCTGTCAATTGGTACGAACTGAAGTGAGTCAAACAGAGAGTAATACACTCTGTAATACACATGTCGGACACTTTTTTTCCCCACCTGAAGTCCTAAGAATTAAAAACGTCTGAGAAGAGAGTAAATGAATGAATGACTAAACAGACTAAACACATTTCACTACATAAGCCAGTTGCATTCACAAATAGCTCTCCAGGTTTCCTTAATGAGCGTTTCGCTGAATAGTCTCTCGTTCGATATCTATCAAAGCGATTTGGTCCGGCCTCAGCAATGTTGTGGTTTGGCGCCTGCATGAGGGCTGTCTGAGCTCTTATGCTTTCTATTCAGATGTGTGTTTTCTGCATCAGCGGCGTGATTTAGGATCATTGTCATTTGGGATAAGGAAGACATTGACTATTTTACTCTCATTAGCTGGTGTTTTATAGCGTTAGTAAATCTTCCAGTGCATAACCGAGTTCATGTTTTCATCATCCTCCCCCCCACGAGATCCTCCAAATCTGTGGCCAAAATGCAACTTCAATTTACGACGGAGTATCTGATGTACTGAGCAAAAAATTAAGTAGAAATAAAAAAGCATTACAAAGACTTTCTATTTTGGAGGTAAAAGTTGAAGACGTCAAAAGGAGGATAAAACTTTCGCTCATTGCGACACATGGAGACGAATGTGACTCACCACGAGCTGTAGCCACCTCGCCTTCATGCCAGGCCAGGCAGTGGAAGGCCGTTGGCGCAATGCCGACGGGAAAGCTTATTTCTTTCCCCTGCACCGTGGTGCGCGTGTCACTCACTGACACGTCCCGCAGGATGCGAGGCCTCAAACGGATCCTGGAGGACAGACATGAATAATTCAATGGGATTGATTGGTTCTCTATGAAGGAAAACTCTCCAAGGAGGTTTGGAAGGCCCTGATGTTACAACGATACATGACAATGTCTGAACAGAAATATGACTTGTTTTGAAGAAAAAAATGGGGCGGAAAAGCCATAGAATACTGTTAAAAAGTCTCTGAAAACAAACCACCAAGCTTGTAGTGTTTACAGAGGTGGATAAAACTGTTGGTAGTCCTCTGTTAATGATTTAAAAACCCACAGTGGTCACTGAAATAACTAGAAAAGACTAAAGTAACTATTGGTAAAACTTGCTAAAGTTTATCTATTATTACTGAAATTAACCAATGAAAATCATTGGTCAAATGTGGTTCAACAGAATTATATACATAAAAAAAGATAAACTAATGAAACAGGCCTGGACAAATATAATACTTATAAAAGTATTGGGACACCACCAATACTTTTCTTGGTGGTGTTCCAATAAAAGTATTGCAAGACAGAGTAATCATCTTGCAATCGGAAGATTGTCAGTTCCTCTTGTAATTCCAGTTAAACATCTGTGCCTTTCCCCCAAGTTGCCCACGATCTACATATAAATGTGTGTGAATTTACCCTAACAGGCTGATTGTTTCACCTACAGAATGATGATCACACAGAGATCATCCACTTTTCTAAAAATATATTTTAGGGGTAATGGCTCCAGGACAGAGACCAGGGCATAACCCAGGATTCCAAGCCAGAACCTTGTCAAAGTCAACATAGAGTGCGTTCATACTGCAGCCTGAAGTGACTCAATTCCGATTTTTTGGCGATTCCGATTTTTTTGCCGGGGCCGTTCACACTGCCAGTAAATGCGACCTGTAGGCGTTCTGCAGTCTGAACGGGCAAACGACCTGAAAGTGTCCCGCATGCGCAGTAGAGGGCGCAATAGCGTCAGCGTTCTCAGTGTTCTGCCAACTGCCATAAAAAGAAGAAGTGCTAAGTGTTTGCGGAAGTAAACATGGAGGCTAACGGTGGAGCTTAGCTTACATATTTGAAGTTGTTGTTCGGCCGGAGCAGCATATTAACAACTTAATCCTCATATAATCCGTCATGGTTGTTGTTTTTCTTCCCACTTGCCCGTATCAGGACGCAGAATAGTGAGATTTGTTGAGAATCAGTGACGTTCAGTTCGGATGAATGCGACCTGAACGTGAGGTCGCATTTGAATCGGATACGTATCGGATATGGGTCAGACAGTGTGACCTGTGCTGTTCACACTGCCATGAAAAGATCGGATACAGGTCGTATTATATCAAAAAAATCGGAATTGAGTCACTTCAGGCTGCAGTGTGAACGCACCCATACAGTCCCTTCAACAAGAAATCCGAAGAGCTTCATCCAGTGGGGCTGGAAAACCTTCAAACTGTGGAGACCAGGACATATCTTGATACCAGACCACCTTTTTCCAGACACTGCAAGTCTTTGGAAGAATCTGTTAGTAGATTAGTTTCATTCTTGTTCTTTCATGTATGATCCAAATGTCTCGATCATCTCTAATTTGAGAGCTTTATTTTTTTGACTCAGCTCTTCCCTCACTACATCAGATTTTGACTCAATTCGTACAAAAGGAAAAACAAAATCATTCCCTCATCATCATTCCCCTATGGAACAAGGAATCAACTTCCAAAAATGTTTCTCTATCCTAACAGTGGGTCTGGCTAAAATGTAGCAACAGGTTAATTATTATACAACTTCACCCTACCAGAGACTGCTCAGAGAAGGCAAAAATGTGTCAAAACAGCACAAAGTCCACAAAAAAATGAGTTTCTAAATGGTCAACAACTCAATATTAAACCTAATAAGAGATGTAACCCCACACAGATTTTAAATATTGCGTCAACGTAAAAGTAAATAAGTCAAAAGCTGTGTGGACATGACATGTTATGTCCAGTGTACCTTTTGTAAGCCAGCAGATTGTCGTCTCTCGTGCAGCATTCATCTGCTCCGGCTGCGTAATAATCCCAGGTGGCCTTTGAAAGATGTGCCTTTGCGTACTCCTCAAAGTCCGTTAGGCATACCATGGCCATCTCTGCACAATGAACTCCTTCTCTGCATGAGACAAACACCAGACAGACAATGTCGCAGCTCGAAATACACACCAATGAGGCGTAACATTACGATCAGGGGTCTTCTGCTGGGTTACCCCATGAAGCTCAGATGTGTATTTCATACATCGTTCTGTCAGAACCGGCAGTAACATAACTTGTTTGCTTGCTGTTGGGTCGGATGCGGCACACTCTTTGCTCTCCCATCAGTAAGCCTCGGTCACTCAATGCCACTGATCCGTCGCATAACAGCTTAAGTTTTTGGAATTGGGCTGAATTGTCTAGTCGTCATAATCTGATTCTGTGTTGAACTCACTCAAATAATTTTATATCTAATGCATAAGCTCTGACAACACAATATTCAACTGAGGCTTAACTTTAAATCAAAGCTAAAAACCCACCTGTTCAGAGTTGCCTTTGAACTATAATAAAGGGAATATTGACCAACATATTTGACGCGTGTTGATGGTTTTGATGATGGCGTTCGTCAAACTGTAATATTTGTCACTGGTTTCTCAATTGTTGACAGTATGTTTTTTTCAGGACTTTTTATTTGTGTGTTTTTATGACATAAAGAACGTTGAACTGACTTGTTGCTTAAATGTGCTATATAAATAAACTCGACTCACTGATTGATTGTTTAACATATCCCACACATTGACAAGTGTGATGATGATGAAGAGATCATTTCTTCATTTCACCTGGTGTAGTCATAATCCGTGTATGCTATTTGCTGTACAACTAGTGCAATGATTTTTCATGCAAAAATACAACTCTTTATGATCACTGTTTATTTCTAGTAGTTACCATGATCAACAAGATCCTTTGTGTTATTGTGGATTTTTGTCTGATTAAGCAAATACATTTATCTCGGGGGACATTCTTTGAGTAAAGGCTGCACAATGCATGTCAAGTCTGATTTTAAAAAGCAAGATATACAAATAAAACTACAGCGAAACTTACCGCAAATGAGCACCCAAAAATCCTCCCTCTCGCCCCCCACGGCGCCCACGAAGGACTGACGTCGCAACATCCCCGTTTAGACCGAAGCTCCCCGTGAACCAGCGCGTGCAGCTCAGTCAACCAATAACTGCCCAGCTGGACTTCCGCCTTCCCTCTGACGTGTGAGCAACACGGCCGGCAGCTTTAATTTTAGCCTCCTGTGCCTTTGTTTGCCAGTTAGCGCCACCGCCGCGTTGCTTTTGGCTCATTCAGGATGAACTGTCACAGAGACGCTGTGAAAACCGCTGGGACAGAGGAGCTACTTTGACCCGGGCGCGGCCGCTGCTTTTACCGTGTTTACACAAGCTAGAAATGTGCTGATGGACTCCGGCCACGGCGGGGACAGGAGGCGGCCGAAACCCAGCGGCCAGCTGCCGTGTGAAGGCAAACATTGTTTGTGGAGGTGGTGAGTTAGAAATTAATTAAAAATAATAATAAAATTCTGCTCAAGACAAAGCCCCACTTGTTAATGTCAATAACAAACTGGTATTAAGCTAACTGTACCAGGAAGTTAGAAAAGAAGTTGGCTAAAACTTCATTTTATTTATAAAAATAGTAGTCAAAAACTCATTTTTCCCTCCACATGGTTTATGTTGGCTATTCTAGAGAGTGGTTACAAAGTGAAAAAAAAAATTATTCTGTTTTAAAGTATATTTTAAATATGCTACATGTTTCTGAAATTCATGTTTCATTGCATCAACTAATTGTTAAAGGCGTGGTATTTATAGAAAGACAGGTGGGATATTTAAAATATATTTTAAGAGAAGTCCATTGTAAAGTTATAAGTATACTTAAAGTACCATAAGTTTATGCTTTAATTCAACTAAATTAAAGCATAAATACTTTAAAAAAATGTATTATTGTATTTTTGTCTGTTACCTACATATACTTTTTATGCATAATAAAACTGTTTCAATAAATGAACCTCTTCATATATTTTTAAAAATATTTGTAAGGTGTTATGGAAATAGTTTTAATATATATATATATATATATATATATATATATATATAATACAAGTTCAAACACCATAAATTTATTGGAAATAACACCAAAATGTATCATTTTAGCATGAAATAAGCACAAAAAATTTATATTTAAATTATAAGTATACATGAAGTAATTCCATTTTAGCACAGAATAGTAAAGTAAATTCACTTTAAATTGAATGTTAATCATATTTGAATTCAACTATTTTGTTGTAAATGTTGTAAATGTAATTACAATTCTAGATTTTAGTACACTGACTTAAATATATATTTTTCACCTGTGTAGTGAACATACTAAGAACGTTATATTTGCTAAATTGCCTGCAACCCATTAAACTCAGGTTTTACAACCACAACATGACTACACGTGTATAAAATCTAGTCCCTAGAGTCTCTGTCCCAACTGTAGGTGGTATCACTACAAACTGGAAGTGATTTGGATCAACTTCGACTCCGCCACGTTACATCACACAGCGGGGGTCACCAGATGATGGTTACAGTCCTCCAAACTTCAGATTAACTCAACAGTCCTTAGAAAGCGTCATGGAATGACTATCATAGTGTTACATGAGACCATAGCAATTCAAATTGTTGGATACAAAGGTATAAACCCATTTCTGTTGGACTCTAGGACATTGGAGACATGTTGCCTGGAGGGACAAATCTGGCAACCCGATGAACAAGTCTTGGTTTTGCAGTTGCCCGGACAACAACAACCTGCCTGACTGCATCGTGTCAAGTGTAACGTTTGGTAAAAAGGGCGAGGCGTTATTTTTCTGATTCAGGCTTTGCGCTGCTCTAGTTCCAAAAAAAACCTGAAGGCTTCATCGTGCCAAGAGATTTTGGGCAATTTCCTTCCTGCTCCAACATGACTGTACCCCAGTGCACAAAGCAAGGTCCAGAAAGAAAAGGATGGATGATGAAGTTTGGTGGGGGAAACTTGACTGGCCTGATTGAGTCCTGACAACAGCTTGTAGGAATCTATCAGAGCGGAGATCACTAACCAGGCCAAACCAACGAGCATCAGTGAACATATTTATTTGCTTTTTGGTAATAACTCAAGTAAGCCCATTCCTAAACCTCGATGAAAGTGTTCCCACAGAACAGCTACAGCTCCACTTTACATCAAACCATACAGATTAACCATGGGACAACTGTGTGTGAATGTAGATGGCTTAATACCTTTGGGACTATTTTAAAAGTTGGGAAATTTTTGCCACCATTATATTAGCTTATTTACCAACAAGTCCTATAGTATGTAAGCATGTGATTAAAATAAGAAAGAAGAGTTGATTTAAATTTAATCACGGACACGATGAGTTTCTCTGCAACTTTTTTAACTGTTTGCTTCCATTTTTAAAAACGTATGAATATTCTACCATCTAATTATTACCATTTGCCCTGAATTTCTACTCAAATTGGCTTAAATACATAGCTAAATGATTTGAATAGCACATGCTGAATTATACTTGCTGTCAAATTATCACATCAACCGTTTTTTTAAAAACATGAGACGAGTTTGAACTTTACAAGAAACTTTAGTTGGATAAAACTAAAATGTTATTTTCGTATTAAAACCTTAAAGAAACAGTCAGAACAACCAACCAACCACACAGTCCAAATTTGTATAAAGAAATTTGTTACATAGAAAGTATGACTGGGCCCTGTCGACACATCGGTAATTTATCATACAGCTAGTAGGGAGCTTGTAGTTTTGATGCGCCTTACTTACTGATGACAGCTGCACATTCTCTCTTAGCAGAACTCCTTTCCTCCTGCCAGACTAGTAACATGTGAACCGCCTGCAGCAAACACAGAAAGCACACTGGTTATTCTTGACGTATCTAGAGCTTCGTCTCTCAAAAATAATCCTGCTTTTACTGTTAACGCAAACCCAAAGAAAGTTTGCACGGCAAAACTGCTGGGTTAATCTAAATCAGGGGTTTATGTTGTTTTGGGAAGAAGTTCTAACCAAACACTGAGCCAGAAATTATGACCAAATGTTTGGTTAGAGAAGAGACTAGACGGAGCCTCGGGATAAAATAAGAAATGCTAAAAATGATGTATTATGACGATGTTCACACTAAGAAACAAGTCTGCTCACAAAGATGCCACTAGCCGTAAGTAGCTAGCACAAGCTAGTGCTAGCTACTATATCCAACATCGACCACAGTCCTTGTTAGTCTAAATGCTAAACATCAGTCACTTTTAACCCATTTGAAGTTGTTGTGTTCAATCAACCCAGACTTAAATGAGTGCAGGATATAGATTTAAAAAAATAAACAATTTTCAGTGTATCTGTGGTACAGAAAAGCCAGGAGTGAGTATAATGTGTACATCACATCCAAAATGTCCCGTGAAAGCTTCCGCATATCATACTCTGTAAGATCACTCTAGTACAGAGATTATAATTAAACTTAAAGGGTTTTAGGAACACTGTATGTCTCTAAATAAAACAAATTAAAACATTTCAGAATAAGGTTTTCCACAAGCTGGTCGAACCTCAAGCGACATTTTTCAGCTCCTAAAATGCAACCCAGTACTTCAGATGCCCAGTTAGCGAAACAATTAGCGGAAAGCATAAAAACATGTTTTTAGGGACCCCAGATTTCAGCATTTATTTAGTCACTAGCTTCTTAGATTTCAATTTCCACAATAATGACAGTATACAAATCAGTGTATTCATAAAAAAAAAAAAGCAACATAGCTGAACTATTACCAGCAACAATTACTGAACAATTTATCAATGTCTGGTGAAACTTGCTCAGGAACTATATGTGCCAAAACTCCAAAAAACATGGCTATAATATTTAAAACGTATATTTTAATGACCAGAAACAAAACAAAAAGCACTTTTTGTGACAAAAGTTAATGTCAGACCACAATACAAGACAGGTGCTATCATTCTTCCTTCAAGTGATGACCCTTAAATGGCAATGCTAATTTTTATTGATGTTATAATTACTAATAACGGATTTACAAATAAAAAACTGGTTAAAAAGGTTAAATTATATTTGATATGTGTATTTAAATTGTACTTGGCAGTTAAAGTGTGTAGTTTCAGTTCACTGAGAAATTAGCTGGTAACCATCTTTACACTTGAATAACCACAGAAGGTAACGTCCATCGTCTTCTTTAGCTCCGCTCTTACGGACACATCAAATCAGCACCAAGAGACGAGCTTTCTGGCAATACTCTGGACAGAAAACTACACAAATAAGTGCGTCTGTGAATACCGAACCACAAATAGACGAGAATCTATTTGTAAAGAATCTATGTAAAGGAAGCGACAGGAAAAACAAACAGCTAGACTTCAACAAACAACGGGAAGCTGAACATAGAACAGCAAAGTTGACCTCTTTAGTCCATCATGATGGAGCATATTGGATTAAGAAATGTTGCCTTTACAGTTGAGGTGAAAGTCTACAATCTGTGCAGATGACATCCACACAGTCTGCTGTCAGTGATGCTAACTGCGCTAATTGCTAAAGATGCCGAAGAACATTCAAAATGTTTAACCTGTAATTATGCTATCCTGTTTTGAAGTAATAATGCTGAAGTTCTGCAGAGCGTGTAAATGACCAACGATTGCTCATAACAAAGAGGAACTTTATTTGCTATAATAAAGGATTCAAGCATCTTACAATAAATCAGACTTGTTTCCTTAGCATTTTAAAGTTGGACACTGTTGGCATTTAGAATGAAATTATCTTGTAGAAAAAAATTACAAGTTCTTGTTACGTTTTCTAGAGTTGGAAAGCAATAATTACACTTTTAAAAGAGTTAAAGATGCATTGCTATTCTTTCTAGGTGGATTTTATGAATAATTATATTTTGTTCCAACACTTGGATCAAAAATGACTGAATTCGTAGGTTTTCAAAGTTATAAATCTATTTGACTCCAAAACTGTTTTGAAGAAATCATTGTTTTAAGTGACTCTGAAACACATCAATAATACATTAAATCTGGATGTTGAAAACACAAATGTATTACTTTTAGTTCTGGTTTTTAGGAGAAAATGTAATCAACTTAAATTAGTGTAAAAGGTAGGTAAAAGACTTAAGAAAAAAAAAAAAACAGGTGATCCACAACCTGCCACAAAATCTCTGATCAGTGAAATTAAATAGTAAATTTCTCTAACTTGGACCATTAAATAATGCCATGCTGAAGAGATACTTCATCTGTATCGACACCTACTAGGCTATAATGGACAAAGACCAGAGTTACTGACGGAGAACTGTTTCCGTCGCCAATCTTTTAGAGTGCAGTTTCCAGCTATGACCACTTGAGGGCAGTGCATCACTGATGAAAACTCAAAACGCCATCCAGCATATGTGTGGCAGATCAACAATAAACAGACCTGCGTATATAATCCATCTACAGTTCACACCCTGTCGGCTGCTCTTAAAAGACAAA